TGGATAGGATGGTTCAGGTTTGTCGCCTTTTCGTCTATCAAAGGGGAAAACAGGACTGGCAAAAGGCTATGGCCGCTCGGGATAGACTCGATCTGAAAGGCTCGGTCCCGGAGGCCGGGGCCTGCCCTCCCCCAAGAAGGTCACTCAAAGGGTCGTGTTCTTTGGACCTGCGTGACCTGACTGGTTTGAACCGCTCCTGTGGTCCTGGTCAGGCACCGGAGAGTTCAAAATGGCAAGGATGAGTGAGGATGGCGGAGGTTCGCCCGCATCATCATCCCAAGTTTGTCCCACCTTTTTTTTTTCTTTTCTTTTTTCCCTCGCCCCCTTCCCAGGCCCGCACCCACAGATTGCAAGCCAATGCCCAACATAGGCGTCCCCGGAGAGGAGGCAACAAACATTGGAGGACTGGACGAAAAGCGTCGTCCTGCAGCTAGGACTCTGCTTGCCCCCCTCCTCCTTGACCCATCTGAGGATTTCGGTCACAAGGAAATGAAACTTGCATGAAAAGGAGAAGAGGGAAAAAAACTGGAAGAAGCAAAAAAACAACGTCCATGACGCCTCCTGTCCAGTGGTTCCCTCCTTGGCCGCCCCCTCGCTGGCCCTCTTCCCCCACTATGCGCTTTTCATGGTACACTTGCTTTTAAGAGGAATCAGAACCCCGGTCCCTTGGCTGGAAGGCGACAGCCTGAAGCGGGAACAGACCAGGCAAGCAACTTCGAATCAATGGGGCGGGCTATAATGAGCTTTGGAATCCAATATTAGCGTGTTGGTCTATCGACGGATAGATGCAACATTCCCAAGCCCAGATCCCTTCCCCTGGGAACGCGGAGGGCTGCGCCGGGGCGCCGTGAGTAGTATCCGGCTCATATCCATACGCGCCGGCTGATGCGATCCGATCTTCATCAGTTCCTTTGGCGAGATTTCTATTGGAAATCGAGGAATTATGCCGCACCTCCCCTCCCCTTGCCCCCCTTCCCACCTCTCCCGATCTCTCGTCACCCTGTTTTGCATATTGCTGTCGTTGGGATTGTGCTTCTTTCTGGTTGCCGGTCACCGCGCCGTGACCCAGGCTTGCAGTCGTCATAGGTTCGCTTTTGTCGGGTTTTGCATTTCTTGACCCCCCTTTTTCTCCCCACTTGCTTGATCCTGTCTGTCCAATATAATTCCAGCCTGCAGGCTGTTGCAAATCTCCGTTTACGCGCCCCTCCCCGAAGATCATGTCCATGAGGGTTACCAGCTTTGCTTACCGTCCCACAACCCGGCGCCCCCGCCCTTCTTTCCTTTTGGCGGGTGGGAGGGGGTAAAAGAAAGAAAGAAAAAAAGGAAAAAGAAAGAAAACGAAGCAGAAAGAGGACGAAAACCAGTGGCAAGTACAAGTGGTGTTACGAGTGACAACAGCAGGAGCGCGAAAGAGGATGAAGTGGCAGAGCGGACTGCGTATAAGTGTGTGCGCTCGCGCGTGTGTGTGTACACGGGCGGGAGCGGCGTACAACGCCGAAGTGGTGATGGTCTCCTTGCTAAACTAGTACATCATACCCTTTCTGTTATCCAGACACTCGGAAAGTGCGGAGTGGGTGACGAGGAAGGGGCGTGGTGATCAGGACATGGTAATGACCGGGCCCATGTCGTGGCGCGGCACGTTTTCAACGGGTCCCAGCACGCATTTGAAAACAATACTATTGACAAGCCATTTTCTCAATGGTACTTTGTATTATTTTCCTTCTTCTTGTTCTTGATCTTCCTGGTATCCCTCCTTTCCGCGAAGCCAACGAGCAAGGGTGGGGGAGTGGGAGGGTTGGGAAGCCGAATCCTTCCTCGTTCCTCTTCCCTTTCTGTGTCGTGATATCGATGGTGTGTGGATGGGCAAACAAGGAAGCATGGGGATGTTTCGCCAGGCTAGGGAGAGGGATAGCGGATAGCAAGCACTTCAGCGAGAAGAGTTCCTCCAAAACGAATAAAATATAAAAAATGAGGTTCCATCGAACAAGGGACCGCCTGATGAGGTTGGAGCAACGTCTGTCATACCCACGTTCACTTTGCGAGATCTTACCCTGTCTGGGCAGCTGCGATGCCGAAAATCCCTGCGCGAATCCAGCATGAAAGCGATTGAAAATCAGATTTGCCAAGATTTTGTCTTGCACCGCCTGTTCGATGGCGATGTGATCCGCCCCGAGAAACATAAAAAAACACAGGAGGACATGGGGGGATCCAGCGCGACGGGTACCGTCCAACTTTTCCCTCCCTTTTCCTTCCTTTTTCCTCCTCCCTCTTCGTGCCCCCGTAGCGATCCTGTTCCCACCTTCGATGGGCCATTGTGTAGAGTGATCTCTGGGAGGGGGACGGATGACTAGGGGTACATTCAAACGAGAGAGGTCAGGGATGGTGGATGGGAAAGGCCACACGCAGGAGAGCCAGCAAGCACCAGAGTGGGATGGGGCCAAGCAACGGATTTACGGAGCTATTTCATTGCTTGTACTTGGGAGGTGGAGAGCCTGCGCTTTGGGATCAATGTACATTTGAGAGTGTGGACAAATTCCGTGGTGGGACTGGGAGGACGGAAGTAAGGAAAAGGAAGGAACCTGGAGTGAGCGAGAAAGCAACCAAGAGAACAGAAAAGTAAGGAAAGAAAACCCGAGGAATTACCAGCCCTCTGAAAAGGGGAAAAAGCAGTGAGAGCACCCACTGAAGCAGACAGAACGGGTCCCCGTGTTTGTAGCGCCCTCGAGGCCTTGGCTTGGTGTCCCTCGTGCCCTGCCGTTGCTGTTGTCGCCCCCGAGGCAGGACCAATCCGCCCTGTGCAGTCTTGACTTTTACCTCTGGGCTGGATTCCGGGAAATCAAATTCTCATAAGATCAATACCCCCTTTTTTCACCGGCTCTACCAATTGATTCATCTCATCTCGACAGGCGGCTTTCTTTTGAGTGGTTCTAAAGGTTCTAGTTTCTCTTGGGGGTTTCCGAGATTGAATGGGGTCTTGGTGTGTCGCTTGTCATTGTCCAAGGGAGGACGCAACAGTGTCTCTCAGACTTGGGCAATAATCTCTCTCCCTCTGCCTGCTCTCTCTCTCTCTCTCTCGCTCTCTTTGCCCGAGTCACTGGCAACTAGCACAAACCCCTTGTCTTTTTATTCGACGATGTACGCGGGCAAGGGGAAGGGGGGGCGAGGGGCCTGAAGGGCCTGCTTCACCCCCTGGACTGTGCCGCGCTGGTCCCTCTCCCCAAGCGTCTCTGTCACGGCAGTCTACTCAATGGCCCAAGTCTATCCAAAGTCGGGTTGGGAGAGTTTGGTACAATGCGCTAATATTGGGACGTGTTTTTCGCACTCGTCAAACTGGCACACCCTAGCTTCCCTCCACCCTGGACCACTCTCGTCTGCCGTTTCCGCACAAAAGAGGCGTGGATGTACAGTACAATACAACAACCCCTGTGCTCATCTCTTCTGGCCCAAGTACGGTACCCTCCATTCGAGCGCCAGAGGCCTTGAAGCCACACCCTCGCATCTCAACCCTCTAAACGCCCCCTCGATTGACTTCACCCCCTGCTCTTCATGATTGATCTCGCACACCCTCCCCAAACATCGATGGATACCACCAGAGTGAGTGAAGGAGCAGGGAGCTCTGGCAGCGCGAGAGAGACGCCCCCCTTGGCCTAGCCCACGTCCATCACCCACGCCCATACCAATTGCTATACCCCCTAAAGACCTCCCATCCCTGCCCTGCCTCTGCCACCACTCTGGGTTTTCCGTCGTTGTACCGCCCTCTCCACCCCTTGAAGGTACTGATGGCTCCGACACGACCTAACTTGAAAGAGTGCCCACCAAAATAAGGTGCGAGCCTGGGACATCAGAGCATGCAGGCAGGACTCCGCCTCTTACCAGATGGGCTAGTCCCCCTCCAAGTCCTTCTTCCTTTTTCCTTACCGTCGTGTCGAGCATCCCAGGGGGTTTGGAGGACGTGTGGGCGTGTGGGAGATGTGGATTGGATGTGCAAGCGGCCCTTGGTGGTTTTTCTTGGTCGTCGGGCTCGAGGTAGGGTACGTGAGTATATGAATCTCCAAGGCCCCCAAACTCCATCCCACCACCTCTCTTGAGATCGATCCATTCTCACCTTTTCCTTCGTCCAAGACTCCTTCGATCTTGTCGACTTATATACACTCCTCCTCCTCCTTCTTCTTCTTCACCTCACTGATTCACGTTTGTGAACTGCCACTCACTAAACGGAAGTCAGACACTTGGCGATACCCAACCCAACCCCCTTCTTGGACCTCAACTCGGATTGAACCTTGACTCTCGTTACATCTACCACTTACACGCGATTCAACCGGTCTACCCCCTCGTTTCTGAACCAGATCTATACATCAATCTCAGACACGTACGTCTTCCGACATCAAAGAACCCGTGCAAACGACAGAAAGCAATTTGCTGGCATGGTCAACTAGAAGGTAAGACCTTGTTTTCCACTGCATCTTCCGTGCCCAACACATGGGGCCGACTCGATGCGGGCCAACCCACCTCTAGTCAAGTCCAGGCTGGGGTGGGCTTCCTCGCAGCGACGGGTGTTTGTCTTGGAAGGCAGCGAATGGAACACGCTTAGATGAGAGAATGTCACTAACATGGGTCCTTTTTCGGCTGCCATAGTTCTCTGGGCTCCTTTACCATCGCATGCCTTCGTTTCCACCGCGCAGACACTTATAAACCCAGGCGCCGACCCCCCCATTCTCAGACTTGTCCTTGCTCATCACCTCTCTTCCCAATCACTCTTGGGATCCTCTTGGCGAGAACCAAGCCTACCCACTCCATCTCCCACATCCACATCCACACATAATCTCTTCCAAGATGCTCTCGATAGAACAATCCTTCACCAGGCACCTGGCCGCTGCCAATGACGACAACGACTACTCGCGGTATCCCGACCCTCCCCAGGCCCTCTTCTCCAGCGCGCCCATGGACATGTCCCTGACGGCAGATGCCCACACCTTCACCCCTTCACCACCACACAGGACATGTTCCCCGCGACCATGGCCTACGAGCCCCCGGCGCTCTATGCCGAGGCTCCCAGCTACATGTACAATACCCGCTCCTCGCCCAGCGGCCCCTTTGACGAAGGCGACATGAGGGCCGGATCTTCCAACCTCTCCACCACTTCGGCACCCTCCGCTGCCTCCTCCGCCGTCGGCTCTCCTCAGTCGAATCACGGCCAACTTGCCGCCATTCCTGAGTGGGCGCCGCAGACCATGACCGTCTCTCCCAACATCGTCGGTCAGCACGACTACTTCCCTACCGGTACCGAGTACTCGACCTTTGGCCCAGGTATGGACGAATACGCTTCTTACGATTTCTGCAATGGCACCAAGCCTCATGGCTTTGTTGGTGAGTTTTGACGCCTACTTGTTTGCATTTTTTTTTTTTTTTTTTCCTCAGAACCTTGGCGCGAGTGCCCTTGAGTTTTTGAGTTTTTTTCCCTCTTCATTTCTTGCGAGAGCAAAGCAAAAAAAAGGATCCATGGGCTTGTTGTCGGCTTCAACGGATCTGCACGTTTGCATACCCACTTGGGAAGAAGCAAGTGGTGGGCCAAAGAGGGAAAGGTGTGCACCAATAGATCGCGCGAATCTCCGCTTTTGGGGATGGGGCTTTCCCTCAACGGAGGCCCCAAGCGTGGCAGTGTGTCGGTCAGGTCGATGAAGCCCTCGCCCTCGCCTTCACCCTCCACCTCTTTATTTTCCCTGTTGTGTCCACTCAATCTTTTGGGTCCTTTTACTTTTTTTTTTTTATTCCGAGAAGCGTTTCGCACCCGATGCTTCTACCACCCCAAGGCCGAGTCTTCCAAGCTAACCAAGACGATCTTCACCGCATTTAGACCCGTCGCTCATCCATCCCGAGATCAGCCGCCCAATCCACATCACATTTGACGCACCCTTCCAGTCCACGGCGAACGCCTATCCCAATTCTCCCGCTCTGTCTCACGGCGCGTCGTCGCCTCAGCCCATGATGCGCAACGGCAGCCAGTCACCCTTCCTCCACGGAGGTTTCCAGCAGCCCTACAGTCCCTACGCCGCCCAGACCCCCATGGACACCAACGGCTCGCGGCGGCCCAGCCACCCCTTTGTCTCCCCAACTACTCCGAGGCTACCCCCTTCAGCAGCGACGAGTCCAAGGAGAAGTCGCGCTGCCCCCATCCCGACTGCGGCAAGGCCTTCAAGGATCTCAAGGCCCACATGTTGACCCACCAGACCGAGAGGCCCGAGAAGTGCCCCATCCAGACGTGCGAGTACCACACCAAAGGCTTCTCGAGGAAGTACGACCGCAACAGACATACCCTTACCCACTACAAGGGTACCATGGTTTGCGGCTTCTGCCCCGGCTCCGGCTCCGCTGCCGAGAAGTCGTTCAACCGTGCCGACGTCTTCAAGAGGCATCTGACCGCCGTCCACGGCGTCGAGCAGACCCCTCCCAACAGCCGCAAGAAGACGCCTTCCACCGTGTCCTCGGGTGCCAGCAGGCTCTCGGGCTATCCCCTGATGCCACTGGCAAGTGTAGCACCTGCTCGCAGACGTTTGGAAACGCTCAGGACTTCTACGAGCATCTCGACGACTGCGTGCTTCGCATCGTCCAGCAGGAGGACCCTGCCGAGGCGGTCAACGCCAAGAGGCTGCAGGAGGTGGAGAATGACCGCGAGGTCATCCAGACCCTCGAGAAGAACAACCTCCCCTTTCCATGTCCCCCATGCCTGGCATGGAAGACGCCGAAGAGGAGGAGGACGAGGACATGCAGCAGGACGACGAGGACGAGGACGAGGAGGCCCCCACCTTCAAGAAGGGCGGTGCCGGCTCGAAGCGCAAGGCTGGCAACCCGGCCAACGGCGTGCAAAAGTCGCGCGGCTTGACCCACTCCCGCGGGGTGTCCTCCTTCACGCCCGCCGCGGCCGCAAGAACCGCCGCGACTACCCCTCGTCCTGGGGCTTCGACAAGGGCCAGATGACGATGAAGAAGCGCGTCATGGCCGTGTTCGAGGGACCCCGCCGCCTCGCCAAGGACGACATGATGCTCTCGACGGAGCACGAGGTCCGCGTCAGGCTCTCCGACGTTGACAGCTCCTACGTCACCGACCTCGACGTCCAGACCCTCAAGAGGGCCGAGGGCTTCCTCCACGCCACCGACGAGGAGAAGGGCCCCTGGATCTCGGACGACCCCACCGAGGATGAGCTCAAGCAGATGAGGGACATGCTCAGCGCTCCCGTGCAGGCGTAAGCGCAAAAACATGTACTCCTGGTTTCTTGACATTTTCTCTCTTGATTTCTTGTTCACTTGGCGTCTTGGATGGATATTTTCTATGGATCAACTAGATGGAGGATATTTGGGCATACGAACTTGGGCGGCGCAACTTCCTACACACTATCTCTCTCTCTCTCTCTCTCTCTCCCTCTTTCCCTCTCCGCCTCGGCCTCGTCCGGGCAGGCACACCAAACCATGTCTGTCTTGGAGATCACTTCCCCTCTCTCTCTCTCTCTCTCTCTTCCCACTCTTATCTCCTTGCTAGCTCGACTTCATTCGTTGAAGAAGACGGCAAGAAGAGGCGTTTCTTTTGCTATCGATACCCCCTCTCTATCTCCAGGTACATAAACTCCTGCCTTTGGTTTTTTTCTTGGGCTTTTTCTCTTTACTTGTCCCTTGGCTCCTCTTGGGGAGGGTCTGAAGACACACACCCCAAGGTTGGAAAACAAGGCAAGGTATCTCTTTTCCTTTTTCTGTCTATAATTGTCGAGATGTTACGGGCGCGACGTCGCGTTGACGATGGGACCGTGGGTTTTTCTGTCTGCTCACATAATGATGTTAATGAATCCGTTGGAAATGGTATGAATAGTATACAAAAATCCCCAAAGATGGCTTTTTATATATAATATTTTTTCTTCACTCTTATCTTTTTCGCCTCTTGACTCTGCTTTTGCCCTGTGATTTTCTAAAGATATGGTCAGTAGCGATGCAAAGAATGCTGATGCCGCTGCGCCCATAGTTCCCTCTCTCACTGCTACCCGGCCCATCTCGGGCAGGGAAGGATGGAGAAAATCGGAACGCTGTGGAGCAGGCAAACAAACTGTATTGGGGCTTGTTCGTGAAGATCTGGTGGTCCAAATCGCCCATTTTGCAGCCTGGGATGAACCCGTCTGGTGTTCATCCTGCCTGGTACAGGACCCCTCTTTCTTTTCTTCTAGGTGTCAATCAAGGCCATTTTTTACGATACCTGCATCCCTTTCTTTCGCATCTTCGTTTCTCCCCTCGACAATCAAGAACAGAACCCGCAGGAAAGAATCCAAAGAGCTCTTCCACAGGTGAACGGGCAGGGTCGAGTGGCGCGCGCCGCAGCCTACGATTCTCAAGTCTGTGGGGACGAGGACAGCACAGGTGTCGTAGTGTAGTAATGTAGTAGGGCTGGCGGATCAATGGGATCCATACTAGTGTAGATGGGGTGTATCTCGGCTATTGAGCACTGGGATTGGACGGAAGAAGAGGGAGGAGGGAACAAGGGACATTCTTTTTGGGAGTGTTTGGATGTCACGCTTGAGGGTGTGTGCAGAATCAGATCTATTTTGGGGGCCAATGCCTTCTCGCTCCACCCCTTTCCTTTGTAGTTTTGTGTGTGTCTGCAGCGTCATAGCCTTTTGCCTTTTCTCTCGCAACATTATAGTGTGTGTGGGTGTGTACGAACGGGTACGGTACGGGGACCAGGTGGGGGCGGTGGGAGAGGGACGAACCATGGGAGGTGGCATCTTAATCTCGACTTTTCTGGGGGAGGCATGTCACGCGATGACGGCTTGGAAGGTGCTGCGGACCGCAACGGTTCAGACCAGACGAGACGGGTTGGACATTGATCTCAAAAGGTGTGCAGGCAGGCGTTGGTCCTTTGGAGTTTTGTTTGCGGCGTGTCACTGGGGAATGGGAATCGGGCGGGTGGGCTTGTGTTGAGTCGGATATACTTGGTCGAAATGGCAAAGTGTAAGGCGGGAGCAGGAGAAGAATCAACAGGTGGGTGAAGGGTTCTGAGAGTTGAGAAAGAACTTAGAAGAATGGAAAAAAAAATGGTTCAAGTGTAACCTCTCGCTCAGGGACGACTCACGATGCCGATTTTTGACACAGGCTGTTCCCTCTGATTGTTTGCTTGGCCCACTTGCAGAGAATGGAAAGAATGGAAGGAGTAGGGGGTTGCATTTTTCGGTTCCGCCGATTCTCGGCCGCTGGGTGCAGTTCGAGTGACAGCTCTAGGCTTTTCTCGGTTTGGATCCAGACTGGGCATTCGGGGTGCGTCCAGCGCGGGCCGGCCGAATTCACGTTTCGGTTGTCTGCGCTGGACGCAAAACTGGCCAAGGGGCGGTGGTCGGCGATAAGAAACCTTCCGTGTTCCCCACCGAGTCCATTCCCTCTTTTTTTCTCTTCTTTTGTGTTTCCGTCTTTTTCTTTTTGTTGGTTTTGGGGTTGTTGAACAAAAGGGTAATAGACTGGACTGGACTGGCGAATATGGCCTGGCCGGGGGCGGGACGACTGAATCGGGCGCACATTGCGATTGGGAACCGACCCAACCAACAGCGAGAGGTGGGTGCCTGCGCTGCTGGAATACTCGTGCTCACTCTGCCCCCGTTTGGGCTGCGCTGGGAATAGAGGTGGAGAGTTTCCTCCGACTTTACCCTTTCTTAGCCACAGGCCTCTATTTTCTTTTTGCATTCTTGGCAATGGTGCCTTTCAACGGTCCGGGTCCGAAGTTAGGTCCACAAGCAATTGTCGGCGGGCACCGTGTGGAGGGGGAAAGACTCTTGTGCAAACCAACGTCCACGTCTCCGGATTCCGATTCTCGGTGGGCCGGGCCCGGACCCACATGTGTCGCGGAGCCTTCCGTTAGTACCCCGTTCCCCTTCTCCCTCTTGCGGATGGAATCAGGAATTCCCTAAGCTTTTTTAAAAATTCTTCTGGTGTAGCTCAGAATCTAAAGTAGAGAATTGCATAGACTACGTGTTAGAACAACAGGCCGCGTCTACTACGAGGACATAGCAGCGACAGTTTTTCACGTACGCTCTTTCCGATCAGAGCTCCGACTTGACCCTTTCCGTTATAGTCCAGCCGAAACTTGGTTAAAGTCTTGAGCCTTGTCAAGTCTACTCGTCAGGAGGACACTACGTGGTGGTTCTCTAAGTCTGTGGCCGGTTGCCCGTATAGCCCACACTTGGACGGTGTTGGCTGGGGTGTTGGCTGGGGATTTAGGACATCAGTAGAGGCATGGCATTGGATTGTTGGCTCAGATTTATCAATGAAGAGTGCTAGCCGAGAAACGGATGATGGCTACTTGGCAGATTATCTGGTTCCAGCACAGATCAATACCCGAACCGTTTACCTCACGATACTGAAAGTGGGTTGACATACGGGATTGGGGCTTTTAGAAGAGAGCAACCGAGGAAAAGAACGATTTAAATAATGCATATTGAAACTTGGTGTACAGAAATGTCTAAGGATGAGAAAATGGCACGCTCAAAATCTAACAATAAAACAACATGCGCTCTGCTGAATCAACATACTCCCCGCGAGCAACGCTGTCTTGCTCTTCTTTTTCTAAACGTCTTCCGAAAAGAGAAACCCGCTTCCCGCACGCGCTCTTCTTAACCTCGATCAAGCCGGCACAACAGTATCGGAAAAAGAGAAGAGGGGAAGGATGCGAGAAGAGCTACCCCGTTTCGACGGACTTTCTCCTAGCCTTTTAACCCCTTTCCACCTCCTCCTCGCCAGTATTGTGTCTCGATGCGATTCACTTGAATCGCGCAGCTATTCTATCAAGGAGGCTAGACACATCTGCTGTGACTAACAGAAGGACCCTCTCCAGAGTGCGAGAAGGGTAGCAAGGAAAGGCGGCGAGAGAGTTTGGCGGTGCCCATGACCCTCCGGCATAGCTACCTATCGGACCCTCGCATTTTGCTTCTCGGCTCGAGGGGGACAAAAGAGAGGATGGAGGAGATTAGAGCTTCTTCATAGGGCAAAGGAGAAAAAAAAAGGGGGTGAGGGCCCTAAGGGTCAACGGAAGGATTGAATCTCAGGAACCCCCACAGCGCCCCAGTTTAGACTCATTTGGGATGCCTCATAGGTTGGCGATTTCATTTCTCCAACCCCAACCGCCGGGGAGTCTTCTGTGATCCTCTTCATGCCCGAGGCTTCGCAGATCTTGATGACGACATCCCGAACAGCCTTGACTTCAGCTACTGTGGCCCCTCCGTTGAGGGCACCCTTGAGATGTCCCTTGAGCTGAGGATTAACCTGTAGGAGAAAAAGTTCATCTTCGTTAGCGGTTGATCTGTGCATGAGGGGTGAGGGGTGAGGGGTGAGGAAATAGAGATATATAGGGCTCGGGGCTTGAGGAACCAACTCACATCTTGCGGAATCAGCCCGGCGATAAGGACAAAGGACGTCTCGGCGGGCGAGAGGACGTTTGTGTTGCTCAAGACGTAGCCGTACATGAGCCTCGCCGTCAACCCGAGATCCTCGGTGCCCGAGCGGTCCATCTGGCCCATGACGCGCTTGGAGACTTTGCCGTACACCATGTCGAAGAAGGTCTGGCCCCGGAGCAGGATCTGGGAGGAGGGCGTGTCGTAGATTTCGACGGGCCTGAGGGTGGGGGAGAAGGCCATGGGCTCGTCGACCAGGTGGGTAGGGGTCACGGCCTTGAGGGCGAGAAGAGCGTTGATGGCCTGGTGAGGTTTGTCGTGTTAGTAAAGGGGGAAACGAATGTTTTGTTCAAAGTCGCGTCCTGGCTACGGCCCGTGACTAGGAAACAAAGAAGGGTATAGGACCGCAGCGTCCTTGTTACGCAAATCCAACCAAAGAGGATGGCTGGCGCACGAGGTAAACATGACTTTCTATTTCTTCTTTTCTTCTGTTCTTCTTTTCTTCTTTTCTTCTTTTCTTCTTTTCTTCTTTTCTTCTTTTCTTCTTTTCTTCTTTTCTTCTTTTCTTCTTTTCTTCTTTTCTTCTTTTCTTCTTTTCTTCTTTTCTTCTTTTCTTCTTTCTTCTTTCTTCTTTCTTCTTTTGGTGGTTTTGGTTTACGTTGGACGATAGAAGGAGAAGGGGCAAGACGGCGAAACTGGCTTAAACATACCTTGGGAAGGCCACCGATGGCGGCGGACTTGATAATGGCTTCTCGTATCCTCCGGGAGATGGCGAGCTGCTCCTCGATGTTGGGGGTAGAATCGACCTGATCCTGGTCTAGGCCGTTGTTGAGGGCATACTTGTAAATTTGGGTGATTTCGTCTGGTCGGTTGATGATGGAGAGGGTGGTGGCGGCGACGAAATACCACGAATGGCGCGGGAGGTTGGGGTACCGGCGGATGGTGGCAATCAAGGCCGGAGTCACGATAGGAGCTAGAGATGTCGCCATGACGGCGGTGGAAGGGCTGGTTTATATCTGCTTTTGTGGCCTGGTCCCTGCTGTCTTTGAATGGACGAACAAGTGAGTTGGGCGAGGCCGCACGTAGTAGGGAGAGAACCTGTGTTTATCCTGTGCGGACGTGTATGTGTGTATAGGTATGGAAGTATGGCTCGTGTGTAAGAGGGAGTGTGTGTGTGTGTGTGTGTATGTATAAGAGACACTTGGCGAGGAGCGATGGATGCAGGTGACCAAGTCTGGTAGAGAAGTCTAGGCCGGAAGCAAGTGACCGACGCCACGCGGGTACCTGGACAGAAGAGCAGAAGGAGAAAATCCGGGGTACAGAATTCTAGCGGAGCCGGAAAAAAAAAGAAAATCTAAAAGGGGACAAAGGGTGGGATGGGGCAGGTTATAAATGTGGAGAGGGAAAGGTGTAGAAGGGGGAGGAAGGAAACGCGACTAAGTAGGAGGTGATGACGGCTTAGACGAAGAAAAAGTATGTGATGGAGGCGGCTCTGTTTCACAAAAGGATGGATATATAAAGGCGCTCTTCGGGATAAGAATGGCAGTTCCGGCAGGAAGGATATGTCGGAGATGCGACTAAGAAAAGGAGGGGCGGCGTGGGCAAGAGATGACCAAGCGCAACGACAGGCGTGGGGAATGGAGGAATGCTGCCTGCTTTGAGAGGCCCGGGAGAAGGAAAAAAAAAGACACACTCAGAGGACAGACTAGGACAAGGCGGATAGACAGCAAGGGGTGATCACGAGTTCCGCGGCCGGTAGGCAAAAGAGGTGGTAGTGGCCGGAGAGTGATTTGCTATCATGAAAATTTGGGTGGTCTGGGGGCTACGCCGCGTCTAAGTTGGGGCACTTGGTCATCACTTTTGGGGGAGGAGGGGTCAAGGTGGGCCTCGGCAATTGAATCCAGCGCTGGGTGTTGCGCCGGACGGGGTATCGGAAGTGACGCAGTGACCGTGACTCGACCAAATGGTGCACTTGATGACAGGGCCACAGCCGGCGTTACACCGTCAGGGCGTGCAAGCTTCACTAAGTTTCAAAGGCGGTCCTGGACTAACAAAGCCTCGACTCTGTGTAAAAGGGGGCTGACTAGAAGGATCCGGGGCCTCTAGGAAGGGGAAAAAAAGAATTAAAAAAATCCTTGGACTCGCCATTTCTTTATATCCGGAGCCCGGCAGTAGGTCGGGAGAACCCGTTCACTGTCCCCCAAAAAGGGCCAAAAAGGGCGAAAAAGGGCAGGATGGGGCGTAGTGGGCACGGTTTGGTTGGCGGGAGAGGAAGGCTTAGCCACAGAGCCGACTCGCATATACGGATCTAGAGCGGGAATGCAGCCACACTTGCGGCGTTGCGGAATCACATGTGAAATGACAGAAACGCGGGGTGAGGTTTTTACGACGCGGCAGATGAGATGGGGGAGTGTAAACTAGACGAGGGAAGAGAAGGACGTGAGATGGCCATCGCCCTGGTTTCAACGGGGAGGGGACAAGGGGGTGGAAAGGATCCAATGTCGTCCACGCGGATTTCGGGGAACGGAGGGGGACATGAGGAGGAGAGGATGCACCACCCGAGATCGATGAATTGCAATTACGCCGGAGTTGGTAAGCATACTCTGTGAATGCTAACGGAATCTCGGATTTCTATCTAGACTTGGAAAATAAAGATAGATTGTGGAGAAAACCGATATACTACAAATTGGTGTGTGATGTCGACACCTGTAGTGGACGGACGGCTTGGAGCTACAAACTCTCCACGGCATGATATGGTAGTCGCCGCGTCAGTCTTTACAATGGATCATTGTACGGAGTGAGCGTACAATTGATCTCAGACCGTTCGAATGCCCACCTCTATTAATACACAACCTCGCGCTGAGTGTTTCGGGAATCAACGAGAAATCGAGCTAGGCAGAGCCGGTCGTGCACATTTCACCTTTGAATGCGGAAATATTGCGGGGAAAAGGCAAGCAAGCAAGGGGAAACCACCAGCTCCAGCTTCAAGTCCTTTCCAAAAGTGTCGTCATGATTAAGGATGAGCAGAAACGGTATTTATTGGTGGGTTCTGCGCCAGCGAACTGGATTCTTCCGAGCAATGACAGACCTGTCCTCGCACCAGAGCATGCTGTCTCAGAGGCTCCCCCAAGATCGTGATAAGAGTGGGCCGTGCTTCCATTGGAGCTTCCCCATTTGCTCAAATCGCCGTCCTTGTCCCAATTGCTCGGTACGTACCGAACTTGCCAGCTGTCCACCACGCCATAGTCACGTGATGGCTATGAGGGCGAATCAGCGTCGACGTGACGCCAACATCGACACATGGCAACTACGACCTGGGCAGGCGATTATGGGGGCCAATGCAAGAAGATGCCAGCTTCGACGAAGTGCAGTAAACCACACGAGCGACCAAACCGACCATCACATCCTCCCTTTTCTCGACCTCCCCTCCGGTGCATCCGTCGCCCATTCCGCCAACGTCGTCCCTCATTCACATCCCCCAAAACCACTCTCTTTTTCCCTTGTGAGAATCGATCGATTGACGACGTCATACGAAGTCCACCATCGCAACCCGGGAGCTGATCCAAGATGAGAATGGATTCCTAGGTGTCTCCATCGCTTCTTCTACCGTCGACTATCGAACAGGAGCTAGCTACTTGCTGATCACTGGTCCCAAGACCTCAGCATGCGGCTGGCCTGGTACGCGGGGGTAGGTTTACGACTTTTCTGCTGCCCTCTTGAGCACTCTTTTCTTTTGCCTTTTCCCTCCCTTTTGGCTTCTCTGGCCTCCCCAGCTCGGGGAGCTCCCTCCCCTTACGTGGAATCATGCCCCGCTAACATGTTCTTGTCTAGGCCTCGACGGCCCTCGCCGTTTCCGTTGTCATATCCGCCTTCCACCAGCGTGCCAACTTCTACTCTGCCATGGTCTACCTTGCCCAGAGCAACTTCTGTTTGTTGGTGAGTTCAATACGCCCCTCTATTTTTACTCCCTTGCTCCACCGCGTGAGCTCGACTTCGACTTCGCCTTCGCGACCCAACAAGCTTCCATCGTTTCTAACCTCGACTTGGCATACTCTTAGGCACTCATCAACTTCATCTATATAGTCTACGGTGCTTTCATGTTTGGTCTTCAACGAGTCTGTTTTGGCCGCCTACGGGCCGTCGAGGTCGACCAACTCTCCGACCGGGCCTGGGTGGCCATTACCGAGACATGCTTGGCCATGACAATATTCCGGGAGGAGATTGGAGCTTGGTTCCTCGTCATGTTTACCTCCCTCGTCACGGGCAAGGTGTGGGGCTGGATTGGCGATGGTCGTCTTGAGATCCTTGAGCAGCAACCTCCCGCGAACCCCCGCCTCTTCCACACCAGGTTGACCGTTTCCCTTTTGATGAGTACCATCTACGATTTGTGGCTGCTACGGTACTGTATCAGCACCGTTATCCAACAGGCCCGCCCCAATATGATGGTCATGTTCCTATTCGAATTTGCCGTCTTGTCCGCGTCTTCCCTGCGCACAAATGCCCGCTACGCCCTCGCCCTTGTCGATGCCAAGATTGTCGCAAACCAGACCAAGCAGAGGCTCGCTGAGCGCCGCCAAGAAGTGCGGGAGCAGAGGGATCAGATGCTGCGCGAACGCGAGGCCGCCGAAGCCGAAGGCCGCGAGCACACCATATCCGAGCACGACATTCCCAATCCCGACGATATCGAGGAGATGGACATCGAAGTCCCTGGCTGGGAGGCCAAGGGTCAGTGGGTCCTATCCCTCGAGCTGTTTACCGACTTTATCAAGCTCGCCATTTACGTCGCCTTCTTTACCGTTCTTTTAATGTTCTACGGCCTCCCCGTCCATATTATGAGGGACGTCTATATCACCGCGAGCGCCTTCTTTAAGAGGCTCTCTGCCCTTCTCAAGTACCGCCGAGCCATTCAGAGCATGAGCAAGTACGCAGACGCCACCGCCGAAGATCTTGATCGTGAAGACACTTGCATCATCTGCCGCGAAGAAATGCGCCCCTGGAACCCTGAAGCAAACCCCGGTGCCGTCGAGCGGACCCGGCCCAAGAAACTCCCGTGCGGCCATATCCTCCATTTCGGATGCCTCAGAAGCTGGCTCGAGCGCCAGCAAGTGTGTCCCACGTGCCGAAGCCCGGTTGTGCTTGACGGACCGCCCCCTCGAATCGCCGCCCTCGCGTCATCCCAGGGGCGGGGGCCCAACCTCAGCCACCGCAACAGCCCGGCCAAGGCCAACTCAACGACCAGCAGCGCCATGTCCCGGCGCCGTTTCAAAGACCCGGCCAAGATGACCACGGTGCCGACCCTCAGAACAACGACGCCGGCCCCCAGGACCACGACGAGCCTCAACCCGCTCCCCACGACACCGGATGTTCAACTTTGGGCCCTTTAGGCTGGAGTTCATCAGACAGGAACTTCGTAACCAGCAGGAGCTCGATGCGTTCTTGAATGGCGAAATGGGCGGCGGTGGTGGCGCCGCTGCCCAGAACACAGGCACCGCCACCCCGGCAGCAAACATCGCCCAGCCTCCCCGGCCGCTTCTACGTCGATCCTCTCGCCCGCCTTTGATAACCTCGTCAACCGGGAAATCGCCTCGCTCAGCAGCCTCCAGCACATGCAGCACGAGCTCCAAACCGCGTCCCTTCTCCTCGGCGAGCTCGTACGCCTGCGCCAGCTCCGTGCTGCTACTTCTAACACCACCACCACCACCACTACTACCCATACCGCTACGGAGCACCCAGCTCCCGGCCACGCCTCCCTCAACCCAGCCTCAATCCCAACCTACCCTCCTCCGCATGTCACGACTCAACCGAACACGCCCTCCTCTCAAGTCCCACCTCCTATCCAGCATACCCGAACGCCGCCTCCTCCTCACGCGTTCAGTCCGTACCCACCACCCCCTTCCATCTCTCACCTCCCATCGCCCTACCCTTACCGGCCGTCCAGCTCTATGCTATCCCGGTACGGCGCCTCGCCCAGTACGACCGCCATCCCCGCCGGTAGCTCCGAGCTCCCCGAGGGTGTCGTGCTGCCCCCGGGCTGGTCTCTCTTGCCCCTTCAGCGTATGGGGGCGACACCGCCACCCCCAACGCGGCCACCCCGCCTCCTCAGGCCGCCACAGAGGCTCCCACCGGTGGCCCGTCAACGCAGCCTATGGCCGCTACGAGCACTCCGGCCTCGGCGTCGGCCTCGACCTCCACTCCAGCCCCAGCTCATTCTATCAACCTTAACGGCTCCGCGGTGCAAGCTCGCCAGAGCAATGAGGCTTCCAGGCCCGAAATGGCATTTCCCCGGCCCCAGCAGCCGCCTCCTACCGCAGCCGCCGCCGCCGCATCCCTGGCGGCTGCAGCTGCACCGGCAGCGTCCTCGGCACCTTCCCGATCGACGCAGGATGAGGATGACCGGCAAACCCCGTATTAGCACCGAATCCGGTTATGCCAAACTGGGGCGGCCCATCCCAGCTCTTTTCTAACCAGGCACGCCTTTCGTCCAACTCGACGCCGGACGTACCCGAAGCTGAGGAACGGTCGGAGGAAGAAGAGTCGGAAGACGACTCGGATGAAAACGGCGAAGAGGAGGATGAAGAAGAAAATGGCGAGGGGCAAGACTCGGACCGTCGTGAGCCGGCCCGGCCAGCTCCCGAAAGTGACGAGGGAGAACAGGCGGACGGTCCCGCCCCGCCAAACGGGAAGGGAAGGGCCGTAACGATGGAGGAGGTTTCATCATCAGATGACGACAGCGACGAGTAGTGCGTTTCCTTTTTAGTCGATATCACGTTTTGTCATTGTTTTTATTTCTCTCTAGAAACAAGGTTCATGGGGACCCAGAGGTCCAAAACAAACAACCCCGTCCCTCGATCAATGTAAGCAAAGCAACAAGCAGCGGTTATACCTTTTTTTTTCTTCTCGTTTCTCTTGCCCATGGCACTATCTCTTGTTCTGCGTGCATTGTGTACAGAAACATGCTCGAAAGAACCCCCTAAAAGATGGGGAGACCATGAGCCAAAATTAAACACAGATGAAAGTATATCTACCCTTTCAAAGTTTGATTGGAGTACAAGTTCTCTACATCTCTTTTCTCTTGACCTACCCATTCTTTGGCGGAATACGAGTAAAAGGCGACCACGCATGGGGATGGAGGATGTTTGATCGGACGTGTAGATATAGCTCTATGTATACAAAAGTGTCTTTTCCGTTTTTTTTTTTCCCCTTCCCACCACCCTCCCATTCTCTGTAGACCTGTCTTGAGGTGCGTCATGGCAGAAACCGCCACATTCCTACTCTTTCATCCAGGTTCCTCGACAAAGTGTAGTCACTACTATCGTGCGCGAGAGTGTCAATTGCGTAGAAAATAATGTTTTACTATCGAAGCCGATCTTGCATTTTGCTGATGCCCCGTTTGCCGCACACAGAGAACTGATGATACACGATACACATGATGAGAGACTAAAAACCCAATAAGAAAAAAATAAGAAAATGGGAACCAAGAAAACGTCGCCTCTTTCGCCCGTCATGTTGTTCTTTTTTTTTACCATGCTTAGTATCCAAGTAATGTCAATCTCCACATGTGTCTCGACCTTCCCATATCTGACACCGTCCTCCCGCAGTATCGTCATTAAAAAAAAAGAGGAAGAAAGTGGGAAGAGAGAAGGACGAGCGGGAGGGGTGAATAGAGGAGAGAGAGGGAAAACAAAATAGACAAGGCCCATGAACCGAAAGATTGATAGTGACCATAAGAGAAAAACGAGAAAAGGGGAAGGTGAAGAGGAAGACGAGGGGAAGGAAGGGACTTGCCATGGCTAACCATCACGTCATCAAGTCTCGAGGATATCTCTCTCCTCATCCGGCGGGAGCGCAGCCGTCACATTTCTCGGAAAATAAGTGTCGGGCTCCCAGGCAGCCCCAGGGCCAGAGTAGCTGGGCAATTGCACCGTGCCGTCTCCTTCGAGCTTCGTGCTGTACGAAGAGTTGGTTGCGTAGCCCGAGCCTGAGCCCGAGCTCGACTTTCCATTGACATTGTACAGCTCTTCAACTTCGTCCTCGTGCTCGTCAAGAATAGGTATGATACGGCCTGTCGCGGCTTTGCTTGCTGGCAAGCCAGCCTTCACGGGTACCGGAGCGAGAATCGGCACTCCCTTGCTAGTTCTGATCGAAGCGGTCGTGGAGGAGGCGTTGCTCCACGAACTATGGCGCTCTTCGGTCCGTGTCCTCTCAGAAAAAACGGAGCGCTCCTGATGCGAGTGGCGGCGCTGCTCTTGCTCTTGCCGTCCAAGGGAATGATCGAGGTGAAGCACCCCTTCAGAGCTCGGAGGTAGAGATCTGTCGGGGATTTCTATGCGCCGCGCGGCTGGATCGTCCGCCGAAAGCCTCCTGAGTACGGATCGCGTGTCGACGTGGTGTAGCTTGGCTAACCTCTCGAGTTGCGCCCCCGGGTTCTTGTGCAGGCGGAGGACGTTAGTCAGGTCGCAAAGACAGTCGGCTGGGCTCCATCGGCGCCCATGCACACATACCCAGTCAGACTGCGGCGGGACACCCTCGGCTTCGGCGAGACGGGGTTTGATTTCTGTAATCCCCTGGCCGTCGCTTGCCGCCGCGTCTTCATCGTCGCCGATGGGTGGAATCGGGAATCCTACGGGTTCAACCTCCTCACCCTCTCCGGTCCGCACAGGTGCCGGTGTTACGGGCAGACTTGGCCGGTCATCCACGCTGGGGAAATCTGTCACCTTGAAGAACCCTTCCCGGCGATTTGTTGTGGCGGCTGCCGCCTCCCACTGCTGTCGTTGCGCGGCGCGTGTCGCGGCGGCGGAATAGCGCCGAGGACCTCCCAGCCCGGTTTGGTCCATGACGCGCTCGATATACTTTCGGATTCCGGGCACCTCGTCCCAGGCGTTGGTCGCGGATGGGGAGGCCCAAAGTTGGAGGCCTGGAAGGCCGGTTCCTCCTCTTTAGGGGGATGCGGCCTCTGACGGCGCATCCGTTTCGGGGGCTGCGATTCGCTATAGTGTTTGACCGAGGATGGGGCCGCCGTCGGAGGCTCATCCAAGGAAACCTCAATCACTTCCTTGTCGCCAAAGACTACGCTATGCCCGCTTTCAGACACGGGCGAGGTTGGCCCCATGGGCTCCCGCCGATTCTCGGTGGCGGTGATGATCCGAAGCCGGTTTCCAACGGGGGCGGCGGAGGAGGGTCCGCAAACACGCGAGTGGGTTGCGGCTGATTGGTTTCCCAGGGGAAAATGGCCCGAGGCTTCTCTGTGGGTTTAGGTGGGTCGACGGGGACCTGGTACCACATGTCCCTCGGCGGACTGGGATAGCGGACGGGAGGCACAAATGGTGTTGTATCTCGGGACATTTCGTATCGAGTATCTGGAAACTTTTCCGCCTCAGGTCTACTATCGCGCGGTGGTGGTTGCCTGCCGAACCAGTGTTAGCCAAACGCACATGGGAGGTAGGGTAACAGCCCACACGGAGCAAACAACTTGGGCCCGCCGAATCGGACCACTTACCACTGTGCATCCCAGGTTGCCTGCATCGAGGGAGCTTGAGGCTGTTGTTCCTGATGGTGATGCTGGGATTCATGATGTCCGGGGTGACTTTCTTGGTGATGCTCTTGGTGGCGGTCCTGAGGGCTATCGTGATGATGCCCTTGACTACCTTGATTACCTTGATGTTCTTGATGATTATGCTCGTGATGCTGCTCCGGTTGGTGTTCTTGATGGGTGTGGTTTTCATGGCCTTCATGGTGCTCATGGTGTTCATGGTGTCCATGGTGTCCGTGTCCGTGGTGTTCATGATGTTCGTGGTGGTGCGTGTGATGCTGTTGATGGGGCTGCTCGTGGCGGTCGTAGTCCTGGTAGTGCTCTCCCTTCGTTTCCCCGGAGTAAAGCCGGTGAAGAAGCCTTCATTCACATTGCGCGCCGGCTCGGGTGGTGCATTCTGGGTACTACTTTGGCCGTGGCGATGATCTTCGGCGCCAGCTGGTCGGTACTCCCCTTGACGAGGTACTGGACAAGCTCTTGCTTCTTTCCTTGCGCGTCATCCTGAGCCTGGTTCTAAGAATGCAGCAACTGTCAGTCACAAGAGACGGTGCTAACCGAACCAAGAGAAGCAAACAAAAATGAGCTAGGTTGAATTGGTAGGAAAGCATTCAGACATACCCTGCCATTACCGTAATGTCGGTCATATACCGCCCACCATCTCGCAATCATGCCGTCGTGCGGGCTAAGGTCAGCAGCACCTCCCCGGCCGAGCTATACGCCGGCCTTCCCTGAAACCAAGGCTTTTGCGAACCAATAAAATGCGCCATACTGATGTTATGTTGGAAATGATTGAAAGCGGGTATATACTGATAATGAGCTGAGGGGGTAACGTTGTAGGTAAAGCTGATGCGGTTGTAGTTGGTCCCGAAATGCTGATTCAGGAGGCCCTGGTCAGCGCCGTCGAAGGACACGCCGCGGTCGGCGAGATCGGCTAGGCGGGCGTACTCCGTTTCGTCAGGCGTCAACACCATGACACCTGAGTTGAAGATGTCGGGCCATCCGATATCCGGGGCAGCGGAGAAGGGGGCATCAATGTCGAAGAGTTCTTCGGGCGCCCGGTACGCGACGATGTCGGCATCGACATAGACAATTTTGGAGAATTGGGTTTGGTTCCAAAGCGCGATCTTTGTAAAGGCCGAATGGAGATCGGCGCGGTTCATGAGCTGGAGGTTGGGATGGACGTTGCGTATCGTCGGAACGGGTATCACATAGTCGTATACGGTCTAAGTCCCAGGACTGATATCAGCTGCTGGCAGACCCTCAGAGAAAACGGAGAAGAAAAAAGCATTCAGTAGGACAGCGACGGAATCCCGGGAGACAACGAACCTGAAGCTGCGAGATAGCTTCGGCAGACACCGTATTCTCCGTGACCAGGACGGCGAGTTTCCTCGTAGCGCCATTGTCAATGAGGGAGTGTGCGAGAACGAGAGCACCTATTTATTGGGGCAAGCACGGTGAGCCGATGATTAGAACAACTCCTTTGAATCAAACGCAAAGCTGGCCGATTAGCATTCAAGGTAGGGTGTCAGTTACCTGGAAGATAGGTGTCGCTGAGAAGCAGCTATTCACAAAGAAGGTTGAGCTTGGTTAGCTTCGAAGCCAGAGGCGGTAGCACCTGAGCGCCATTGGATGATTATTTTGACATGACGTAGCGCGGACACACGAAAACAAAAGGTTCTAGCCACAGACAGATGACAAAAAACACAGGGGACACTGGCAATTGACGGCACACGAAGCTCTAGAAAGGATAGGAAGAGAGGAAAACTCCGCCCGAGCTAGCAGAAGCTTTCGGAAGAAGCGTCACCGTATGCGTGCGTGTGTATGCATTTGGCTGGGGGAATGCCTCGTCACGACAGACACCGGATTGGGGAGAGGGAAATTTGGGATTAGACACGAACCGTTGCGTAGACTTGTTCTGCCATCACGGCAATTTAAGCGCGACGAAGCACTTTACACGCCTAATTGGAAGCTCAAATGGCCAGAGGATCTTGGAGTAGCTGGACAAGAATCGGGGAAAGCCCCCGGAGAGGAGAGGGAGATGCAGATGTCCAAGTGCGGGGCCGAGCAGGGAGGAGGAGGAGGAGGAGGAGGAGGAGGCGGGGAAGGGCGATTTAGGAAACCAACAAGCTCGGGAGCATTGGGAGGAGAAAGGAGAGCTCAAATCCAAAAAGAGGAATAACGATGGCGAGGCAAATAAAATGCTGCAAAACGCAAGGTCAATCGAAGGAGGAAGGAAGGGGAGAGAGAGGTCGAGCTAGCGGAAGCTCTCAAGCCATGAGCACTCAAATTCCGCTGTTGTGCTTCTTTATCTTTATTTTTTTCGTCTGTCTCTCTCGGATGGTGATGTGAGGGGAGATGTCTTCGGCGTAGATTTTCCCCAATGCCAAACTCGCAATTGCAAAATAAAAATAAAATAAAAATGAGAGAGCTGCAGACCGGGCGGCGATGGGTCCCTGACGGAAATTAAAGGCGAGACGAGGAGGTCGAAGGCGGAAAATGGCGTTGGTCGAGCGTAGCGTTGCGCAAGGCAAGCGAGGCCAAGCTAGCGGCAGCAGGCGACCGGGCCACCAAAGCGTGGAAAGAAACCGAGTATACACTCCTTGCTGCAGATAAGGATGGAAATTGCCGGCCCGAGAACAGCGCGGATAAGCTCTCTCTCTCTCAAGGATAGCCCGGATCGATCGTGAGTGGGTGAAGCTTTGACGCCGGCGAGGGCCGAGGAGACCGAGTCGTCTTGATCCCGCGAATTCGAGCAGGAGTGCGTAGGATTTCCTTGGGCAAAGGAAAAAAAGAAAGAAAAAAACAAAAGGGAGGGAGTAAGACTAGCTCGTCGATTTTGACGCGCGTAGATCCGTCTTTATTGTTATTAGATAGGGCGGAGAGGGAGAAGCGTCATCAGGCGTACAAGAGAGGGAAAAAAGAAGCGAGGGGGAAAAATCGAGAGAGAAAAAAAGAGAGAAAGAAACGAGCGAGATGAAAGGATGCGTGTATGATGGGGGTTGCCACTCGAGTCGAGAGGTTTGGGAGCAATGAGGAAAAGTGACGACGCGAGGGGACGTCAAGCTACGAGCTACACTAGCTTCTTGCCGGGTATAGTAGTTTTAGTGTCGGCCGTTGAGGCGGATGGGTTGATCGACGGGAGAAGGCGAGGGTGGGAGGTCCAAGGTGGAGGGCACCAGCAGCCAGTGGCAGGTGCAGCTCGATGGAGAATCAAAGTAGGGTGGATGGCGGCTGCAGCGAGAGAGAGCGGGATCGGGCTACGAGCAGAGAAGGAGAGAAGGAGACGAGAGAGACACTTGAAGAGTACTTTGCCCGCGAGTCGCCTCTCGTGTTGATGGTGGATGGCAAGATGGATCACGGATCGAGGCTTCCCTAGTATTAGAAGACCCAACAAAAAAGAAAAAAAGAGGTGACGAGTAGTGCAGGTTTGAGGTACCACGACTGCTAGCGACAGCAGCACAGAAACATGGGCCAAAAGGAGGACCGCATGCGCACGCAGAGTTGATACAGCTTGAAGTACCGAATTGGACTCCAGAACAAGTCGGGTGCAGCGTGGATGGGCAAGATGGGATGGGGCAACGGCTCGAGGAAGTTCAAGTCCCCTTTGTCCACGGGCGCTTCCCTTTTGCTTCGCTCCTTCCTCTTCTTCTTGCGTTTAATGGCCGAAATCAAATTCCCCTCCAGTTCCGTGGTTGAAGAAATCACAATGTTATTGATGTCTTGAAGCTGTCTTTCTGTCTCTCTTTCTTTCCCCCTTCTCTCCCTTTGGGCAACCACTCGTCCACTTCTTTCATCTCCCACTCGAGCCTGAGGTCTGGGACAAGGCGAATCGATTCCTTTATTAGTTGCCACAACATTCAGTCATCTTAGTGTGCTTGGTGTGGTACCTTAAATCAAGAAGTGGCAACCCGGACAGGTTAGCGCTCCACTGGTCCCCACCCTTGCATCGCTTCTGCTCGCCTGCGTGACAATGGCAAGCTAAAAGCAGGCTTTTCCCGGCCAAGCCAAGATATGGAGCTCCTACTTATTATGCTTAGCTCCCAGTTGTGATAGGTGAGGGAAATCCAATGGAGCTTGAATCAACAAAAACCAGGCCAAGCTCTCCCCCTAGCCTTCATCTGTCCATCAACAAGTCCTGGCTGAGCCCAAAGGTGAGAGTCAGCCCCATTTACGACTACTTTAGAAACGACTCCACGGACCCGCCAGACTATCGATGTCTTCCTTTTCGTGTTTGAGCGAATGTGCCGAAGACCTAAAAGGCCATCGATTGAGGTGCATGCACTTTCTGGCGGGAGAGGAGGAGGCAACAAAAGCCCCCAGTCTATTATGACCTTGGTGCGAGAATGAGTAACACAAGACGGGTGGAATCAATTTAATCCTGCCCCTGCAACAGCGTAATCGAGTAACTCTCGTACAGAGCTCGAGACCTTTTTGGTCCACGACTTGCTCGCGCTCCCCGCTTCTCTGCATATCCCGCCGGGCAATGGGAAGAGAGATGGACGACGAACTTTGGAGGATGCATAAAACGGCCATGCCGCACGCCTATAGGGTTGCCCGGCCACGTCTGATGTGCCCAAGTGAGGGTCGATTGCTTCGAGATGCTCTCAATCATAACAGACAGAAGAGAGGCTCCTGTCATCTTCGAGGGGGCCTGATATTATGGTTTGTCCAAGGACGGGAATCCCTGCAGGGACGTGGGACCCTTGTGCGATGAGGAAAGACAGTTTCAAGCTCCGTCACTGCTCGTCCCATTGGCTGAATCGCCCTACCCATATCTACAAAGTAGAATGGCCAGGCCTTACCGACGTCCCTGCCCACCAGATTGCAGGGTATTGGGCGCCATCATCCCAGGCTTGAGCCCCAAACACCTCAGTTCAAAAGACCAAAAAAGCCTCGTAGAGCAAGAATCGTCGTTTCGATAGTAATAAGCGGAACGAAATGAGCCAAGCAAACCATACTAGTGTAGAAAAAGATCCGCATAAGCGCTGCCTTTTGGACGGCTAGGCTTCGTCGGGTTCGTAGCCCTGTCGATACCCATCAATCCAATGTTTGAGCCTAAAGATAGCGCCGATAAGTGATACCATGCGCATTACAGAGATTCATCCATGGATGCATGGGCGATAATCTAGTGTATCGACATGTCATCTAGTGGATGTACTCTGCTATGGCCGGCACTTTGACTCAGCAGGTTCTATCGAGTCTCGACGTAAAGTTGTTGAGTATTAGTCCAGTCCAAATTTTATTTCCCGGCTCGATTTGCCTTTTGACTCTTGAATAGGTAGAGGAGCGTGGAAGAAAAGACAGATTGCAGAGCAGCCCCGACCGTCGGTTCTATATAGATTCCCAGCACGGACGTGGGCTCGCCAAGCTCATCACAATCTTACAATCTCACCTGTCGTGATTGAGGTGACACATTGTAGGACCAGCCCACTCTAGGTCCCATGGGCCGCCTCCCCTCCGAGGTGTCAGCGAAGGAGTGCGAGAAGACGCTGGGTTTCCGCCCAAGCCCAGCTGGGCGTTGCATCTTATTCATCCTCCTCTCCTAGTTTTCCTTTCCTTCTTTTAAATCTTGCCTCTCAATGGACATGCCGCAGCTCAAAGTCCCCGGGACTGGTGATGTGTCACCTTGAACTGTTGAAATATATTGGGAAAAAGAAAATGGACAAAAGGGGGCACAATAGGCCGATACTTTTCCAACCCCCTTTCCTTGGGGCACAACATCTGTTGTGGAACAACAGCAGATGGATATAACCAGCCATTGAGAGTTTCCCAATTCCAATTCAAGAGAGGGACCTTGCAAGTTGTGAATGGATCCGAGTTCCCCTTTATCAACCATGCAGCTGGCCGGTGAACTGGAGAGCGAGGTCGGACTCTGCGAGGAGAAGGAGAAAGGGTCCCGGACCCAAGAGAGCTTCAGTCACCTTCAATGTTCTCATCCGACATCCCCCGTGGGAAACTTAGCCTCGCCACTGTGCTGGAGGTGGCTTAACACTCCTGCATTAGTTAGAAATAGCGGACGCGGCTGAGAGAAGCGCTTACACTACTGTTCTTCTTTCCCCTTGGCCCAGTATTTTGACTTTGCAGTGTAATCTGTCAAGCAAGGTACTAAACGTCGGTGTCGTCTCTCCATGCTCTGCCCAACCCACATCAGCCCCATTCCCGTTTAGGGCGCTCAGTGTGCCGCCCTGTTTCAGCCTCTCTTGCCGGGTCGCTGACCTTGCTCGCGGCAACGAGGCTTCGCGTCCTGTCCTTTTCAACAGTCGCAAAGCAGTCGAGTTTGGGTGCGACGGCGCGGTTTTTGGTGGCGGCGGCATGTCTCGAGAACTCGGCGCCATCGATCAATAGCCTCAGCCGCGTTCAGGAAAACGACTAGGCAGGGCTCATGTTGATAGACGCGAGCTGTGGCCCGAGACTCGTGTCTATCCTAACCTAACGAAGAAAAAAAAAAAGCGCCCGTAGCCAGCGCAAAGGTGTCAACCAGCCCGTGGGGAATACCCTGTTTTTTTCTTTTCTTTGGGGAAAGGTCTGAAAGACAAATTTACAGCTGGAGAGCAACTTAACCGTTGTGGGAATAGGTTTAGAAGGAAATAGTAGGCAAGGGGTCTCGCGGCGGCAAGGGAGAGTCAACATGAAAAAGGTTGCCTGGGTGAAGGGGTCAAGGTTCACGGCAAGGTACGAGAGATGGGCATCAAGTAATACCGAGATAGTAAGGAAAAAACGGGCGAGGATGAGGCTATGTTGCAGGTTCATTTGGGTCAACGCTGCAAGTGAGACAGGATCGTTGGCTCGGTTGAGTCTAGGGTATCCCGGGCTGGTGTGGCTTCAGAGACGGAGTATCCATAGACATCTCTGGACGTAGATGATTGTACGGACATTTAATTCTGTACATGTACGAAATTTAGTTATTCAACGACCACAATGAACTCTCGCCTCTCAGAGGTCCGCTGCAAGTTTCCAGAATGTGGAGGAAGAACATTGAAGCATGACGTAGGGCGGGAGTAGAGAAGACACAATGGTGAGAAATAAATGGAGACGAAAGAAGTTGATAGTAAAAAGAAAGAGAGGGAAAAAGAAAGCTATAATTGTTCACTGTGTGAACGAGGCTACTCAACTTCAAATTCGAAGAATCTGTTCAATGTAAAATGGTCCGCAGTCCCGTCTCGGCGGCCCTGGAGGGTGACAAGCGCGGCGGGCCACACCCCGGAGGTTCCCGGCATCAAGCGCTGACGTACGCCCGGTAGTGGACCAGACGTTTTCCCTTGCTTGGTGTTCGCCAATTCGCTTAGGTCGGATCTCCTGCTCCTTGGCGTTAGCCCCCCAGTCATTTGAAGGCAAAGGGGACAAGAGGTTTCTGGAACCTGTGCGCGCGTGGCCAAAGCCACTGTCGCCACAATACCAGCGCAAACATGAACTCAAAACAGAGAACCAAGTTGATTCGATAAAAGTCTTATTTTCTGGAGACCAAGCGCAGGGGCAGATCCCAATGACATGTGGTTGAGGAGAGGGGTTGGTGCACCGGAGCTCTAGGCTGGCCCAAAATACCTCGTGGGAGATCAATTGCGCTGTGCAGTACCAGCGAGTACTTCAACTTGTATTAGTACGCGTAACCTCTCCCAACTTCATTGGCTCGATCGTGGAGCAATTCCTTGTTCTGATTTGCATCCCCTTTGCGCTTTTGCGGGGAAGGGGGACATGGGCAAATGGGCAATCCCACTTGAACGGATTCGAATATCGCTTGATCCATTGTCAGAAACGAACCCGGCCGGGAGTCCGAAGAAATCTGGGAGCCTAGACTAGCAGACAGAACACACTACCACACTAGGGCCAGTTCGGGCCAGGTCCAAGCCAGACCAACGAGAACAAGCGAGGGAGAGAGAGGGAGAGAGAGGGAGAGAGAGAGAGAGAGGGAGAGAGGGAAGGCGTGAGAGGCAATGGGAAAGGAAGATCGGACACCGAGAAAGAGTGGATCGGAACGTTGCCTTTGTTCTTGGCTTCATCGGCTCGTGCATCCTCCCTCGCGCTGCTCTTTCCGTACATGTGCATCATCATCCCCTCAGCCCAGGATTTATTCGAGCTTGTCCACCCTTGCATCGCCCCCCTCCTCCCTCAGGCCCTCCCTCAGGCCCTCCCTCTCCATCCTACCCCATCCGGTAAATGGGCCATCTCCGCCTCAAGTGTCATAGAGGGTCTTTAACAAGCCCCAAGAAGATAAAGAGTGGCACCACTTGGTCTCGTTATTAGAACTGTTCGTATTCCCCGGGTTGGCCCAAGAAGTCCAGCACGAACGGTCCTTCAAAAAGCGGCCGGGCCTCATCCCTCCCTAAATTTCCACCTAGGTTCATGCTCAGTGAACAGGGACACCACTCAATTTACGAATTACGAAGTATCAAATCCGCCTAGAGCTCGATACGCGGATTCGGCGACTTTTCTCGCGGAGGCTGACTCGGACGAGCCAAAGCTTCGGCACCGGGGTTGGATCGACTCAGGCCATCTGTCTGATTGAAGTGGCATAGAACATTGAACTGGGGCCCGGCATTGGTTATTATTACCTTGCTCGTTAGTGTATGACCAGGCCCACTCCACGTCCACCCAACGCAACGTCCCTGCAACATCAATTGCTCTTCATGACAATTACGACACTGGTTTCTTTTTCTCCCATTGCCAGCTTACTATTATTACCCTGCACCTTTTAATCCTTTGGGTTTTCCCCCAAAGGCGGCACCCCTCCCTCCTTTATTCTCCCCTTTTTCTCCGAGAAGCCCAGGGTCTACCGAATTCTGAGCCCTCAGCCTTCTTGCACCCAGACCGAGGGGTCCGATGGAAGCTCTGGCAGCTTGAACGACCCGCCTCCTGTCATCAATCCTTCTACACCATTCCTTTTATTCTTCAGCCTCTCTCTCTCTCTCTCTCTCTCTCTCTCTCTCTCTCGGCCCCCTGCCCTCCCTTCTTCCCCTTTGACCATTGTTGCATGCATCTCCATTGAGATTCCCAAACTTACGCAATCGCTCTACCCGCGACAGACTCGAAAAAGGAAAAAACCCCGGAGCCGAACAAACGACGCGAACTCTCGAATCCATTCCGCGCAACCCAAGGACGCAAGACGGACAACGCCCGCAGCCCCTACACAGTTACGAAAAGTAGATATCAAGAAGAAAAGGAGAAGGGAAAGCAAAAAAGCCATGGCGTCGCCTGCGGCCCATGCCAACGGCATCGCAGCCCACGAGAATGGCTCCCGTCCACGCCAGCGCAAAAGCGCCAGACTCCAAAAGAACGAGCGCACCCACGGCAGCACAGCGCCTTCCGTGAGCAGCAACCTGCGCAACTCTCCAGAAACAGTCTCCGCCAGCGAGACTCCAAGGTGCGCGAGCTCCCTCGTCCTTTTCCCCCTTTCCTTCTTGCCCTTGCCCGCAGCAGCCATTTCCTTCGCGCATTCCAGCGCCCAGGAGAGGGCTACTTCACCATGAGTGGATGTTTCTTTTCTTTTTGCTAACGGTGGAGCTCTTGAACGCTCGCAGCGGCGCCAACACGCCCCTCCCCGAAGACGCCCCACCGTCCGACCAGTACCTCTTCTCCGCCCGCAAGCTCGCCCGCGCCGAGCAGCGCCGTCTCCGCCGCCGCCTCTTCCCCACCGTCGACTACACGTCGCGCGTGTCCCACTTCGACCCCAACTCCGACTACAAGGACTTCCACGGCTTCTACACGCTGTTCTGGATAGGGCTGTGCATCCTGGCCATCACGACGATGCTGCGCAACATCAAGGACACGGGCTACCCCATGCGCGTGCGCATCTGGGCCCTCTTCACCGTCAAGCTGCAGCAGCTCGCCCTCTGCGACTTCTTGATGGTGGCCACCACCGCCGTCTCGCTGCCCCTGCAGCAGCTCTCGCGCCGCTTCGCCGCCGGGTCCCCGGGCACGTGGAAGCGCGGCGGCATGGCCCTCCAGGCGCTGTACCAGCTGGGCTGGCTGGCCTTTGGGTCGCTGTGCCCTTTCTCAACGACTGGACATGGACGGCGCAGGTCTTTTTCTGATCCACACCATGGTCATGCTCATGAAGATGCACTCGTACGCCTTTTACAACGGCCACCTCAGCGAGACGGAGAAGCGCCTGCGCGCCCTCGACAACCCCTCCACCGCGTCCAAGGCCCCCGTGTACCAGTACCCGACCCCCGAGAACCCCGACGGGGCGCTGTCGAGCCCCGCCGCGCTTCCTTTACCCCGCGCGACAAGCTCGCCGTGGCCGGTGGAGGCAGTAGTGGTGATGAACCCGGTAGCAGGAACCACCACCCCACCCACACCGACTCAGACCCGGACCTGGATCGGGGCTGCGGCTCGACGAGGAGCTCGAGAACCTTAGAGAGGACCTCGCGCGTGAGCTCACCAGCCCCATGGGCAACGTCACGTACCCGCGCAACCTCTCCTGGGCCAACTACCTCGACTACCTGCTCTGCCCCACCCTCTGCTACGAGCTCGAGTACCCCGCACCCCCACGATCGACTGGACCGCCCTCTCCAGCAAAATCGTCGCCACGTTCGTCTGCATCTTCCTCCTCACCATCGTGTCCGAGGAGTTCATCCTCCCCGTCCTCACCGAGTCCTCGGCCCGGCTCAACCCCGTCGCCCCCGGCGCCACCAAGCCCTCCCCGCCGAAACCCTCCTCATCCTCGCCGAGACCATTTCCTGGCTCCTTTTCCCCTTTATGCTCACTTTTTTACTCGTCTTTCTCGTCATCTTTGAGTACGTCCTCGGCGCCTTTGCCGAGATCACGCGCTTCGCCGACCGCCACTTCTACTCGGACTGGTGGAACTCGACCGACTGGATGGAGTTCTCGCGCGAGTGGAACGTGCCCGTGCACTCTTTCTTGCGGCGGCACGTCTACTCGGCCAGCCGCGCCCACATGGGCAAGCCGCTGGCCACGGCCATCACTTTTCTCATCTCGGCCGTGGGCCACGAGATCGTCATGGCGTGCATCACCAAGAAGATTCGCGGCTACGGCTTCATCTGCCAGATGCTTCAGCTGCCTATTATTGTCCTCCAGCGCACGCCGTGGGTCAAGGGAGGCATACGCTGAATAATGCCATGTTTTGGTGCTCCATGATTATGGGCTTGAGCTTGGTGCGTTTTTTCTCTCCTTTTTCCTTTTTACACTCTCTTCTTGTCTTGACTGGTCTTCGGTCGGTCGGTTTAACATGCAACTAACATGGCGCTCTTGCTTCTCTTTAGATTTGCTCACTATACGTGTTGATATAAGCCTTGCTCTTCCCTAGTCCTTTCCTTTTGCGCCCCCTTCTCTTTAGAAGACGAGAGTAGGAAGAGGACGAGCAAGGGTGATAAGAGGGCAGTCGACTTGGGAAATTCATCTTCCCTTCAACGGGAACCGGCGTTCTTTTTATAGGAAAGAATTTCTTATAACACAAAATCTTTTCTTTTTTGTCTCTCTCTCTCTCTCTCATTTTATACAAGGCATCTTGTCGCCCATGTGCCTGCCTACTCGATGGCGTTAGTCGAAGCGCGGTGGACTCTCCTTCCCCTCGACTTTTTTCCTTTTCCTTTTTATATCTTTTGATTCGGCCTATAGCTCGATCCATAAACACATACCCCAGGGAATATACAGTTTTGACATACTCGATACACGTACAGCTCGTAAAACCTCGTTTTTCTTTTTTTTTTTTTCGTAGTCGTCTTGGGAGAAACGAACCAAGGCAAAAGATCTAGCGTGGCACCATCCCATCCTTTAGTTCCCTTTGCTTCTTCATACCACATTGACAAGCAAAGAGAACGAAAAAACCAAGGGAGAAAAGCAAAGCGCCCACCAATGTCGAGGTTGGCGGTTCCCCTCAAAGACACGTAAAAAAAGGAATCCGGCTGAGACAAAGCCTTGTTCTCCAAGTTATTTTCCTAAACCTCCCTCCCCCTCCCCCACCTCAACCCCCCTTTTCCTCCAAGCTTGTGTCCAAGGTCTTTCCAAAATCCGGGGTCGGATGACCTCACCGTCGGACTGCCTTTCTTTCCCCATTTTGTCTTTCCCCGAATTCTCCAGTCCGCTGGAACATGGTAGTAGTGAACCCTCCCCCTTCACCCTGCCACCCTCCTCGATCAAAGGGCAGAAAAGGCTCACAAGGCCAAGTCTACCCCCAACGCCTGCATAATGACATCTTTGTGTCTCTCCCCCTTCCCCACCATCCCCCAACCCCTTGACGTACTTACGCCCTTTGCCTCCGGGAAAGGAGAATAGCATGGCATGGATAGATAGATTCAACGACTGAAACCTCCCATCACGGCCTCTTGTAGCCCACCAACTATTGCCAAAAAAAAAAAAAGAAAAGAAAAGAAGAAAAAGTAACGCCCGAACAGGTAACACCCATGACCCCCTCCCTCTCTTTACCCTCCATCATCCTTCTATGCTCCCCTCTTCGGCCGTGTAGTTCACTCACCTGTCGTGAAGAGTGGAGCAGAAACAGAAGGAAGAGAAAGGGGAAAGAATCCTAAGAACGAAAAAGAACCCAAATGGAAGAAAACAAAAAAGACTGGCGCGAGGCAGGAACAAAAAAACCCACTCGCGCGCCTTTACCCGTCCGGGAGCGCCAACACGGGCGCTGTCGCTCTCCCGCCCTCGGGAACATTGAAGTCTCTGGCCTAAATTGCACCCTCCAAGGCTGAGCACAGCGCCGGGGGAGGATGACGTACCCCCACCTCCCACATGACCAACCAACCCCCTACGGTTTCCCCTTTCCTCCTTTCTCATACAACCACCCTTGCCACCCCTTCAACGTTCCTTTTGGGACAAGGGAAGACGTAAAGTGAATCGGATTTCGACACAGGCCAAGGAAGGCGAGTGAGCAGTCCACCTCGTTTATTACACACGGGCCGCAGGCATGTCATGGGGACGACGGGCAGTCACAGACGGAACAAGAGGGAGCCAAGAGAGCAATAGAGTCACGAAAATGTGAGAGCAAGGCGCCAAGTCAAGCCAGAGTAAGAGAACGCAAAAGTAGTAGATTCAAGAGAGCCCAAGTGAAAAAAGGTTCAGAGAGAAGAAAACGCAAATTCGAGTCCTCATCCCCCATTCCCCGAGATATCCTCGACATCACCCAATTTCTTCCCAACTTACTTCCCTTCAGCTAAGTCTTCCCCCATCCGCCCGCTCTTCATTCATCTTCCCCCACCTTCCCCCACTCTTCTCATCTCCACAGCAAAAGTGACAAACAAGGTGCAGCGAGGGTGTTCTTCAACGACCCAACAGTGCCCATTCGTACCCTCGACTGGTGTGCGAGTTTCTTCTCCACCTCCCTTATTCCGTATAGTCATCATCATGGCCAATCCCATCCAGTTGTGAAGGGGAGTGAAAAGGAAAAAGAAAAAAGACATTTGTTGCGTATTGTTGTTGTTGTTGTTGTTGTTGTTGTTGTTGTTGTTAAGGCGTTAATCAAGACAATGTGTGTGTGTGTGTGTTTGGCCTAAATTCCCTCCCCAAGTATCCCATGAGTTATAATATGCCCCAGACCAATCCAAAGTAAAATAGAGAAGAAACAAACCCTCCTTTGCAGGCCCGAGCAACTGAGAAGCCCTACCCAAAGGTAGGAAATACTCAGCGGGAACGAGGACATAAGGAGGAGGGAAAACAACACGAAGAAGAAACAATCAACGACAAAAGAAGACAGAGAGAAACACCTTCCCATGAATGAGTACAAGACGCGCAGAGATAAAAACAAGTGAAACCAATCAAAGAAAATGTACCACCAGACACCAAATATGAATCCCCTTCCGTGCCTTCAAAGTTGATTCCTAGCTATACCATGAATCTTGGTTCGCGGCCTGTGATGATGAGTTTGTATGCAAAAAGAATGGAACCATCGTTGCGGCGATCTCAGTATACGAGAGACTGATGTTTTGCAAGATGAGCGAGGGAGGAAAAGAAAAAGAACAAAAGAGAAGAAAAACAAGGATGAAGAAACACCAAAAAAGGGCGAAAGACACCAAGACGGAAAGGACTGAACACCGCGACGACAGGCCAAGAAGAGCGGAGGGTGCGCAGGAGACGGGGGTGAGAAAAGGGAGGCCGGTTCGGCTGTTCCCATTTTAGTAGCGGCCACCAGTGTCCACTTCGGGGGAAGCCGTTGCTGTATCGGCCCCAGTTAACGTCGTCCGTGGTGAACTCTTTCCTTGTCCGAATCTTGTGGTAGCTTGGTCCTCCCATATGAGTATCCACCATGCGAGTGGTGCCCGAGGAAGAACTCGACGGGTGGTACATCTTGGTTCGGCCCGAGGACTCTCTATAGGAAGAATCCCGTCCCATGCTCCGGCCACTCTCGGACCCGCCGTACCCCCGGCTGCTGTACTGGATACCCATGGCTTCCGAAGGGCCCGAGTCTCGTCGAGTAGCAGGCCCACGTGGCTTGCGTGGTGGCATAAATCGTCGCTCATCCTCTTCATCCTCTTCTTCGTCCATCTCTTGCACCGCCTGGGCTTGATACCTTGACCGGCTTCGACCCCGCGGGTCTTGCTCACCCCCATAAGTGAACGCTCGGCTCATTGACGGAATGGGGATCGGTCGGAGAGGAGCGCTGTAGCCTTCATGGAAAGTGCTCGATTTGGGGAGCGAACCGTGACGGGGGCGATTCCGAGATGATCGAGGTAACGCGAGGCGAACCCGAGAGGTGCAGCAAAGGCTCCTCCTGGATGCTGGAGACCGACTTTTGCGGAAAGGGCGGTCCCGCGACCGAGCAGGATCGTAGGATCCACGGCGGGACGGGATCGCCCTAGAGCGCACGATCTCTTCTTCCTCATCGTCATCGTCATCGTCATCATCGTCATCCGTGTTCATGAGGCGAGGCACTCCCGGCGCCGGAGGCGCGGGATATGGCGACGCTCGCGCAGGCGGAGGTGTCGGAACAGATGGAGGAGAGTGTCGAAAAGCTCCGTCAAACGTCGCGGCCCTCTCAACTTTGGGCATAGAGCCCCGAGATCTCATATAGTGAGAGGCAGCGTCGAGCTTCTCAACCATACCAACTTCGACCTTGGGCGCTGGCTCCCTCTCCCCGCGGTGTTTGCGACTCGGCTTCTTTTTCCGAAGACCGGCTATAGTCTTCGTCATACTCCTCCACGTACATGCGCTGCTGTCGCTTTTCCTCGTACTGGTGCTTGCGCTCCTTTTCTTGGCGTCGCTTGTCCACCTTTCGAGCCTCCTTCTCCGTCGTGCGTCGATCCCGGTCTCGCTCACGTTCTCGATCCCAATCACGATCACGATCTCGCTGTTCTTGCTCCTTCTCAAGGTTCCGGTCGCGGTCCTTGTCGCGATCACGATCACGCTCCTGCTCGCGGTCCTTGTTGCGATCCTTCTCGCGCTCCTTCTCACGCTCCTTCTCGCGCTCCTTCTCGCGCTCCTTCTCGCGCTCCTTCTCACGCTCCCTCTCACGCTCCCTCTCACGCTCCCTCTCACGCTCCCTCTCGCGCTCCCTCTCATGCTCCCTCTCGCGGTCCTCTTCCCTCTCCTTATCTCTCCTCCTGCGAGCTCGTTCTCTCTCCTTGAACTCGTCCGCATCTCTGTCCCTTTCCCTCTCTTTGCGAGCGCTGCCAGGTGGCTTTTCGTAGCTGGGAACGCGCCTAGTGGTTCGGCTCGTCGGCTTATCTCCAAAACTGTAGTCATCCGATGACGAATTTGAGTACTGTTGGGAGAAGAGCTTTGATGAAGCCGTTGGTCTCGGCGGAGACGCCGCGTACGGCGATGATCTTGGCTCCGCCGTCGTCCGGATGCTCACGTTGTACGACTTGGGGGTGCGGGGAGACGACGTATTCATCATCTTCGCCGCCTCCTTTCGGAGTTCCATAAGCTTGACCTGATCATCGTACTTGGTTCGCTCCTTCTCGTCCGAGAGAAGTTCGTAGGCCTGTTGAAGTTTCTGGAATTCCTCCAGTTTCTTCTCCTTGAGGGTAGGGTCTTGCACCTTGTCAGGATGGCATGTGAGGACGAGCTTCCTGTAGGCGGTACGGATCTCGGGGACCTGTGCCGTCTTGGAAACACCAAGGGCCTTGTACGGATCGGGAGGTAGAGGAGGAGGCATATTGAAGACGGGCAAGAGATATCAACGATGGCCGGTTAGAATGAGCGATGTGAAGTTTTGAAAAAGAGACGATCGGCCGGTAATGGTTCACAAGAGAAAGGATACTAATTAAATAGTATACAATCAGGGAAAGCAAGGCACACGGTGAAGATGGTTGGTTGGTTAGGCCCGGGGAGGGGCGAAAAAAAGCAGCCAGGGAGGCAAATTTGCGGATGGAAGCCTCGGAGTCGTACTCGTTGCCGCTTCGATTCGTCGTCGTCGTCGTCGTCGTCGTCGTCGTCAATGCACTTGCGCAGTTCTTTGTGACTCAAATCGAACGTGGCTTGGAAGGTAGCGAAGAGCGAGGGAAATTAACGCAACAGAAGGCCGATCCGAACCCAGGTTCGGTATGATGCTGGACGAGGAAAAACAGGTAGACAGGAAAAAGAATATCGTTTTAACAGTTGTGGATGCGAAGAATGAAATCGAGAAGAATACACGGTTGATCCGGCGTTGGCAGCAGCGAGGAAAACTGCGAATTACGAACAATCAGGAGCGTTAATGTCAAGCTGAAGAAGGCGAAATAGCAGAGTGTCGCTGAGGCTCCAGGCTGGGCAACTATTAGTACAACAAAACCGAATTAGGCTGCGAACTGCCGGTGTGGTTTGAATGGGTGTTTTGGTCCTGGGTCCTTGCACGCATTTAAGGAGCAACTTGGACAGGATAAGACAAGAAATGGTTGTAGATGTTGATGTGTTTGAGAAGGGAGATCCCAGAGGGAGTGGGTGATGAGGTCACAACTGGGAGGGACTGTGGGAGGAGGCCCGATAGAAGTAGTTGCTACGGGAGGGAGGATCGGGTGCTCAGGAGGGAGAGAGGGGGTAGACTGGTGCCAGCTGGTCCTGCAACGCTGGACCTGGGCTGGCTGTTTGCGTGGGAGGTTGAGGCTTGTTTTGGGGGAGGGGTGACGAATGGGGGTCCCAGTAGACAAAAATACTGGTTTCGATGGTTGCTTGTGCTTGCAAAGCGTGTGGGTCAGGCCCGAGCCAGTGAGGGAACGACAGGGGTCGGTCTGAGTGGCCAGGGAGGGGTTGGTGATGCATCCATCGATGTGGTGTGCTTGGCCCGGACCAGTTTGGCCCAGTGTACCTGTGGAGCGGGGGAAGGACGGGGTACAGGAGAGACAATCAAGAGGAAGCTCAAGGAGGGGAACAAATAAGCGGGGCGGATAGACGATGGATCAAAGGGGACTGGGAAATCTGGGCTTGCATGCGAAGTAGTGAATTCTTCTTGAGGAGGGGAGCACTCAACCTCCCACAACTCGGAGAAACGTGGAGTTGCATACCTGTAGTGCAATAGGATTAAAAGGCTTTGAGGTATAATAAGTTGGGGTAAGGTCGAAGATAAACGTGGGTGAATGCTGATTCGAAAAAGTCTTGAGGCTGCGACGGCTCAAAAGTGAGGCGAAAGCGTAAACGGCTGGTGTCGTTGTCTCGACGGAGCATTGGGCGAAACGGCAAGTTTGGTCAGGCTCGGGACTAGAATCTGATCCAATTGAGAATCGAGAGGGCCCAAGGGAGACGAAGAGAAAAAGAACAGAGGTTAATCCCCTCGTTCTCTAGGCTATTCCTCCGTAAAACTCGCTGGAAATGCAATCGAATGGTGTACACTTCGCAAAAGTCAATACGAGAAATGGGCGAATGTTTAGACGTTTCTTGGTCGACGAAATCCCTCCAGGTCGGCAAGGGACGCTTCCACGGCCGGAAACAAGGGAATATGAATCGTCGAGGCACGATAGTCGAAGCGGTTTGTTCGCCAGCCGAGAGGGTTGAACAGGAACAGCCGTCGTGAACTGATTCGTTCGGTACCAATGTTGCTTGTGAAAATATTGCTGAAAGGGCGCCAAAGGGCCTTGACTCGTCCAGTTGACCAAAAATCCTTGCCGGGATCCCCTTTCAATTTGGCTGAAGCAGGCGGTGATAGTATTCCTCGTGGCACGCAGGGCCAGAGCGTTGAGGAGAGGAAAGGACCAAAAGGGAAGACCGGAGAGGCCTGAGGAGAGAGATGTGCGTGGTTTATCTCGTTCGAGGGGGACAAGTCGGCAGCCCTCCAATGGGGCAGGCCTGCCGTGTGTCAGTCGACAGACATCCAAGTACACTACACTGCAAGATGTGATGGCTAGCAGCACCTCGTCCCAATGGGGATGACCAACATGCAACGGATGATGGCAAAACCTCCAGTCAGCCAGCATCGGCACTCCTGAATGGGCGGTGGGGCGCAGGCTCTGGCGTTCCTGTTGCCCCAACCCGGCGAGGCCCTGGATGGGGCGAAGGTGTGTGGCCAAGCACAATTGGTAATAATGGACGAATGCGAAGTGATTATGAGCCATACAATACCACTAATTAGCTCAGCATATCCCCAATAGCGAAGGGCTGGACGGGGTCGAAACGAAACGGACTTGGTATTATTATGTCCACCGGCTTTCCCGTACATTCTTCGGAGGAGGGCCAGTCGATACTCGTTTTGACTCGAAGCTGCGCGCTGAACGCCGATGCTGAGAACACGGATCTAAGCGGGATTACGGATACGGATTTCCAATCCAGCATTCCATAATTCCAGAGCGTTCCATGCCTCCCCACCCGAGACGGACGACTTTCCTCACTGATTAATCTGTCATTCGAGTATTATTAGTGCTTGTACTCTTTTAGCCATGATCGATGTGACTTGTTCCTCGTGAGCAGAGGGATTCATCGCTGGGGTTGTGGGCAAAGCAATGGCGGTGAGTCGAGCAGCAACCTAGTAATCAGGCCTTGGTCGTCTCCTGGGTGACTCTCCCATACCCGTGTACGAAGTACAAGGGGACGGTGTGCGCCTGTGTGCGCACAATCGCGCTTTGAAGTAAACAAAATAGTCGCACTAGACTACCACGGCATCTAGGTGTCTGCCTCTTCTTCTTTTGTTTTTCTCTTTTTCGATCTCCCTTTTCTTTGTCTCCCTCTTGCTGTCTGTTATCTCGATTTGAGAAAGGGGGAAGCGGCCAGCCGTCTTAACCCCGAGGTAATAACAAGATTATCCAAACGGTAGATCTAGCGTTGGGGTCGTTCTTCAGATAATGAGGAAGGGGCCGCTTGTGGCGGGAAGGAGGGGCAGGTTGTACCTGCCCGCAATTCTTGGTGGCGGTCGACTTCCCGAAACCCAAACGCCCGATTAGCAGCCCAACCCTAATTCATCACTTCGAAGAGGAAAGAGCTTGCTGGCGAGAGAAGACCAAGGGGATGAAGACCTTGGAGCAAGAACTATACGCTCCGTAGTCCGAGAGAAAGGGAAAAATCACCATCCGGGTTCCCTTCTTCGCTGGATGGAAGACGGTCACGGGCACCAGAGAATCGCAAGATCAAATGCACCGACCAGGCGGTCTTGACAAAATCCAGGAGTTCAAGATCCACCCGCACCAAGCACCTGACCAGCAAGCCTTGAATCAACCCTGAGGCTGAGTTCAGTGAAAGAAAAGATTTGTGTACTTGTGGTGCAAAGTCTTACCAGATCCCATCCATAGGCCATGGCAGCATGAGAGTGCTCCACGCCTACTATTTGGCGTTCAAGTCTCATCCTTCCGAGGACAATCTCCAACCCAAACTCTACACATGACAAGAGAAGCGGTCTCGATGGAGCTTGGATTTACAAGTATCCCCTCGATCCTAGCTGACTCCAGACCATGGTGCATAGCAACAAGAGATCGGGGAATCAGAAGTACATATGGGAATTCCAATCAAAGGTACTTTGTTTCATTCTTTATGCTTGGAGAATACTTATGAGTTCCACCCCGCTTAGTACCTGTGAATGGTGTCCGGTCCGTCCCCCTGAGCAAGGGAAGGATACATGTAATAGTCACTCTCCCCTTTTCAGCAACAAATGTTCGGCTGCCCTGGGATGGCCATTGACAAGATACTCTTCTCACTGTCTCTATCGAGCGAAGTTCCGCCATAGGCATGAGAGTCAGAATCGGGGCTCGACGTTGAGAACTTCACTACAGCCGGAACTACATAACAAGTCGCAAAGTTCTAATATGGATACGTTTACCTCTCCCACGTTCCGAGCCTGGTATTACATGCCGTCCCTGGGAGGGTCACAGCTACCGCAATGCAGGCCTGGGTCTGCCACCTCCCATTCTTTCGCAGAGTTTTTACCATTGCCGGCAACAACGCAGGGCTGCAATTGGCTTCGGTGTCAAGCCTCAGGAAGGCAGTTGCTATCGTCAATGCAGTATTGTCCCCCAACTGTGCACTCTGGTACCGAGGTATGAGCGCTATTTTCAACGCGAGAGGTGGTTGTCGAGTAGCCAGTGATCGTGTCAGGAACATTGGTGATCAACTGTGTCGGATGTCCTGCGTGGTGCACCGCTCCCTATTTGCGAGACGTGCATAACCCCTCCGCCGAACTCGCCCGCCCCGCCACCACAGACCAGTCAGGACCCTCCTTGACAAGAAGTTGATTGCACTTCTCTCCGAAATCGTGGCTTTAGAGGCCAAAGGCCTATTAAGAGGGGACCAGTCACATTGACGAGTGAAAGGCCCATCCACAAAGTCCGTGTCAACGAGTCGAAGCACACAAGCGTTTGACTTTCGTCGAACACGACGGTACTGATAACTTCCATCCCAACGCAACCCACACCCCCACGGTCCCTTTTTTCGAGCGTACCTCGGGTATGACATGGGGATTTATCCCATCAGCTTTGATTGAGTATAGGGGTGGCTTGGGGGCAAGTCGCACGTCGCTCACTGGGGTAGCCCGCCGTACGAGCTGGCCTTTGTGTCCGTCACACTCTGTGAAATCCCTCCACACGCTTCCCAGTCTTGCAAAGTATTGCCGTACTCCTCCCCATTAGCAAGATACAGCCACCCAGAGTTCCGAGCCCTAACAACCAGGGAGGAGCTGGCCAAGAAGTCCGCCCAGGGCCGATCAACAGGTCGTACATTCGCCGCAGTGGCTTCACTATTGAAAATCGTGGCCTTCGTGGGCTA